AGAGGTCATGAGCTTGTCCAGGGCAGAATTCACCTGCAGGCTGTGTTTGCAAAAGGCAGAATTCCATGCAGTTCTAGGAATATCAACAGCAGTCAAGGTAAGGCAGGAGGTAGACAGAGAACAAGGTGAAGCAACAGTGGAGAATGGGTGTTTCTGCGGTCATGAATTCTAAGTGCTTCAGGTGACAGGAACAGGATGCGAGGTCTCAGGTCAAGCTACCACCCTACCCCTCCCAGCCTGGGCCTGTGCCTGCTTCTCAGAGTTGGGCAAACACTGAAGCAGCTGCTTGTTTGGAGAACCTGGCCCCTCATTGCGCTACCCCCCTCATCTGTCCTCTGGTTAGGGTTGTGTGAAGCGGAAGGCAATTTGGGGCTTATTAGTGTCCCAGGGAGACATGTAACTTGTGTTGCTGGGACCCAAACAGCAAGAGTCTTAGCGGCAAACTCCAGCCGAGAAAAGACTGAGGGATTGTCTCACCTAATTACAGCGAATGGCCCTCTTTGTGTTTGTGATTCGCTACGCTTGTCCGATCGCTTTTGATCGCCTTTCTCCATTTGCAGGCTCAGGCCATGCTGGAATTGTGCTAATTAGAAGAGAAATGGACAGAGCGATCCTGTCAGGCCTGGTTACTGGTGGGGACAAAGCCGAATATTATTCGGAAGCAGTGTTTTGTGAGGGCCCCTCTTCCAGCTCTCATTAGGAGGAAGGGCCCACAGGAGGGGAGGTTCCGAATGCCTGGCCTGGCTAATGGAGCGCTGGAGTGTTCCTGTGCTAATTAAGAGGCTCCACTGGTACCCTCGCCAACCAGGAGCCTCCTGGCCGCATCTGGGGCCACTTAAGCCCCAAATGCTCCCTACTCGAGAAAATGTCCTGCAGAGGACGGGGAGACCAGCGGCCTCTTGAGGCAGAGTCAGGGATACATCCCTCAAATGCCACAAAGCTTAAGAAGGCAGATGCTCCAGTTTCAGGTCAGGCAGATCTGAGCTTGGAGAGGACTGTTGGCCCATTTTCTGGGAGGTAGAAGGTTTGGAAAGTACCCTGTTGAGAGAGCCTTGTAGTTCTCAAACGATGAAGAAAAAAAGCAGCTAAAGGGTTTGCTGTGCCAAATTGAAAGCCAGTTACGAAATGGTATTATCTGATGCCCGAGGCAGTGCCCACGGGTCCTTTCCCTCATTTCCTGCACCTCTTGTTCACCAGCCTGTGGATCTCGGATTCCTGGAGAAGCAGCAGCGATCAGATTTCATCTCTTTGGAGATGAAGCTCCTAATGAAGTCCCACTAGCCTTCAAAAATGATTGGAAAGACCTGCCCCAGTTCCATGTTCATGGCCAGTTCCATGCTCATGGCCTGATCTGGCCGAGTCCAGAAGACAGAAGAGCTACAGTAAGCAAAACAAAAACAAAGGGCACTGAGTAAGCATCCATTTGAAAAATGGGTACAGAGATAAAATTAATGTTGGCATTTCAGTACAACCAAATCCACATTCTGTGAATGTTAGTTCTCTAACTCCGGGAGAAAAGCCAGGAAAGCCAGTAAAGAGGCTGAAAGTCTATGAGATCAATGGGAACAAGTAGCAGTGAGACCACATTACGAGACAGCTACACGAGCAAGCAAACAGAGATTGAAGCTTATCAGTGACTACCGGGTGGGGAGGTGTGGGGGAAGGAGGGCTCAATACTATGAAACACTGAGTTTTTGTTAAGGGGATGGAAAAATCTGGGTAGAGATAAGGGTGACAGTTGAATAATATAATGAACATAGTAGGTTGTTACTGAATGATATATGTGAAGAATGTTGAAATGGTAAATGTTTTGTCACATATGTAACGACCATAAAAAAAAGGACTGGTGAGACCATTGGTAAGAAAAGATTTTAATGAGAATTTGAAAATGTGTCTCTAAGCACCAATGCTTTGATGCTTCCTCAGGACACTGTTGTCCACAGCCAAGAGATGCATTGCAAGGGTGGTATTCAGACTGGCAAGATGATGGGGGTGGGGGGAAATCTCCATGAAAGCTAGAAAAGCATCTTTAAAGACCTAAGCAGGACATTCATGATATTCTGTTTAGTTACTCATTCAGTTACAGAAATCTAGTCTCCACCTAGATGTTCTCCTGGAAATAAACGATCAGCAACATGCTGTCCTGAAAACGGAACACTTTCCCTGAAAGGGCACGCTCTGCTCGAGAGCAGGTAAATGGCCAGTGTGCGACAGTTTCTATTTTGTGACAATACTATTACATTTTTTCTTTTCTTTCCCTAGAAGGTGCCAGGAAGGACGTCCTCTCAAGGCAGTTCTCCTGTCTGCATCAGGTCAGGCAGCAAGTCAGCCAATGCCACCTCTGGACAATCTGGATCTAGCAGCAGATTCTCTTTCTGAACAGGGAACATTTCAAAGTGTCGCACTGATTAGCACATCCTCTTCTTCAGTTCCTGGACAGTGTTGAAAAGGAATCCACATGTTATAGATTTTGGTAGGTGGGAGGGAAATACCTGTGTTCAGAGACTAACGTGCGCCTAATCCAGGTCACAGTCTTTGCAATTACTTGCTATGCATCAGAGACCTGGACAATGACTAAGGATAATAGAAGAATTGATGCCTTCAAATTGTGGTGCTGGAGAAGAGTCTTGGAAAAAATGGACTGCCAAGAAAACAAATAGGTGTGTCTTGGAGAGGGTGAAACCAAGTCTCTCCTTGGAGGTTAACCTCTATCTCACATATTTTGGGCACATGGCCAGGAGAGACTGGTCCTGGAGAAGGATATCATGCTTGGAAGGGTGGAGGGATAGTTCAGGAAAGGGAGATCCCGAATGAGATGGATTGATATAGTACCTGGGGCAATGGGGGTTGTTGGTGTGTCAGAATCAGTGAGAATGGCTCAGAACAGGGCAGGGTTCAGAGCTGCTTTACATAGGGGTTATGCTAGGGGTTGCATAAGACTTGACAGCACATAACAACAACAACAACAACTAAAATGTTTATTTTATACTGGTTTGCTTACAAAGTTCGTATAGTTTTCCCACACAGGATCTTTCCCATTTCCTTTTCCTTTCGGTCTACCCATCAAATTATACAACCCTATGATTTCCCACCCCTGCCCATCCTCATCCCACTGTTCCTACCCTCACCCCTCAGTCTGTCATGTTTAACTGCAAGTCTGTAGATTTTAACTCACTCTCCTACAAAAGGGACAATATTTATTTTGAGGACACAGAAATCATCATACACAAAGTACAGTCTTCTAACATCCTGAAATACATTCATGCACACATAAATTTATATTATCAATATAAAAATACATCATTAACATTTCTAAGGACGACATATATAAAACCAATAAATATCGCAATTCTAAAACATCTACTTACATTAAGTGCTGGTGAGTAAGATGATAGTAAAAGAAAGAAGCCAATGCAGACCTGAACACCAATCTCGGGGCTTCAGGCTGTAGATTTAAGCTGGCTGTGGGAGGTATTCCAAGGTACCTCATCTTTCCCCAAACACTTACAAAGTGCTTGATATTATCCACTCTCAGAAACAGAACAAAGGAAGAGTTTGACATTATGACACTATTTTGGGCCAGACACGCACCCACACCCGCACACATTTCAATCACACTGAATGAGATAAAGGAATGTTATATAAACTTAAAGCCTCTCCAATGAACACATCTGTGCAGAATGTATTCCTCCTCTGTTTTGTCTCATTGCCAACTTCCTCCCTCCCTTTTCTGTCAGTAAAACTGTGGAGATACTCAAATAGTGAAAATGAGAGAACACTGATTCTTGCCTGGGAAACAAGGCCCCAAGATCGACAGACGGGCTGTTCAACACTGGACCACAACTTTACTTCCAATAGTCAGGCCACAACCACATAGATGTTCTTTTCATGAAGTTTAGGAAACCCCATGCACCAGAGGCTAGAGGATGATTCATGAGACAAAACAGGGAGAAAATGTACATCTGATTTTGCTCATGGGCCAGATTTTCAGGAGTTAACACAAGAGCAGATAGCTGGCAGAGTTTTCTAAAAGCTGTATTCAAGCCAGGAAGTGCTCCCTCTCAGACGTGTAAGTGTGTATTTCTGTCAGATAGGTGGAGTATCAGGCATGTGCAACTGAGGGGGCATGGTGGACCAAACATTGTCAGCACCCCACAGCACATTTCTTTAAGGTCCATGAGCCTTTCCTAGTTTCTAATCAAACGAGGTGTTTGTTGTTTTGTTTTGCCAATTAGCTCCCTTTTCTATCTTTCAGGTCAGATTTCGGGCTCAAAATCTGTTACAGATTATCTAAAGCGTTCAAGCCCTTTCTACCACCTTCACATGAGCCTTGAGGTCTGGAAGCCAACCTAACCTTGCAAAGAGGCTCTCACTTGACAAGCTAGCCCAGGAGGGACTAGCTGCCCAGGGACTTCTTTCCCTAGAGCCAGAACCGATGCAGGAGCCAAGGGGTGAGGAGTGCATCTCCATCGGGGGAGAGGGCTGTCAACTGAAGTAGAGAACTGAAAAAGCAGCTACATCTCTTGAGAAGGCTTGTTTCTTCACCAGAAATTCTTGGAACCTGGTATACACCGGAGGTTTGCAGGTCAGGCTACACGAACTCCTTCTACGTCTGGTTCCCTTGCATCACAAACCCTTCCTAACAGATCAAGCACAACTGAAAAGAAGTTATCCAATCAACATGTCACAAGCGACATTGTCATCATTCAGTCTGAACTATAAGGTCCGAGGGCTCCAGAGTCATTTCTGGAAATGAGGAAGCAGAAGCTTAACCTTTAAGATTGATCCACCCTCTGGCGTCAGCCGCAGCCAAGGTGAAGAACATCCAAGTTTGGAAGCTGACAGAAGACCTGCAGTGATCCTTGAGAACAGCAGATGTTTCCCTTCCTGCCCAGAGCTCTGGGATGCACAGTGCCGGGAGCTGCGGTGTCAGTGTCAGTCCTGGAGGTGCCAGCTCCGGCCTCCTCCGAGGAAGCAGTGAGGTGTGCATGATCAGAGCAGCACCGGGAAGCTGGCATGGCGGCCACAGTTCCCAGGACACCATGGCCACCGGCAGCTGCTACTTCTTGGGCTTCTCTAGGATGTTGAGGAACTTCCCCCGGGTCATCTCTCTGGCTGGAATTACAAAGCAAAATGACAGAGCAGTGAAAATCTCAAATGTGAAAAAGGGATCATAGGGAGAGATTTCATTAAGAAATGCAAATGGATTTAAATGGTATATAAAATTGTTGCCACAACATATTTAATTACCACTAATCTCTTCAAAGGAAAAGAAATCCCAATTTCCAACTAAAATCTGATAAAGCTGTTCTGAAGTCAGCACCTGCTATGAGATGTTGTGTAACTAGGGAAGACTTTATCATCAACTCTTAAAAAAAATCCCTAGGGGATTCTTCCAAACCTATCACTTTCTCTGAATATAACTTAACACTCACACATTCACTCTCACAGGGAGTTTGCTCTCAGAGGCTACAGTCCAACCAAGATTACAGTCTTCCTTGAATTGTTGATCCCTGGACGTTTATAATCTCAAATCAAAATTAGAGATCATTTACTCCATCTCTCGGCAGTGGTAGTCCCTGGATGCTGTAATATACCAGGGTTTATATTCCCTCAGTGCTGTTCATCTGTGGATGGTGTAATAAAGTAGGGTTTATAGAGTTTTGGTCTTCTCTCTCTTGGCATTGTCAGTCCTTAGATATTTAATATAGCCAGGAAGGGTTTATGTGTCTTTCTTCCAGTCTCAGCACCATCAATCTTTGGATGCTGTAGTTACCATAGAGTTTATACAGCTACTTTCCCCACATATGAGGCTCCAAAATGAAAGAAAAACACTTCTCAATTACAAGGGCCCCTCCCGCAGGCCCCATTTTAGATCTGTTAAGCAAATTCTTTAAAAAAAAAAAGCAGCATTTGAAGCAGGTCTAGAACTGAACTCACCCATGTGGATCAGCCCTTAGTGAAATAACAGGGACACCTGTAAGGTGAACAATAATCCCATGGAGGTTCATGGTCTTCAGAACAATCAACCATATGAGACCAAAAGGGTATCTGCCCAGGAACAAAGGTCCAAAGGCAGAAGAGATGGGAAACACAGGAAGGAAGTAGGAAGCATGTAGCTGTGTCATGAGCATTACCATGCCATGAAACAAAACACGGCTGAACATGGAAACAGAACCTGCTTGGTTAACATTCACCCACACAAGGAAGAAACTGAAGAAAGAAAGAAAAGGTTGATGACACCTTTTCATCTTCATCCCCTAGCTCATCTTTTCAAATCTCTTACATGGGTTTAACAGCATTAAGTTTCTCAATGGCTGGCCCTCAACGTCAGAACTCTGGAGTCATGCAGCAGAACACGGCAGCCTGTACTTTCCAGCCTCTCAAGAATTTGTCTTTGTCTTGGTCAAAGGTACGAGCGTGGCTCTGCAGGTTGAAGTCTTCTGGAAATATGCAGCAGAGCAGGTACATGGCAGGTGAGCAAACCTCCACGAACGTGTCTCCATCTTGGCTAAACAAGTAAGGCTGTTAAGAAGGCACCTTCAGGGGAGCTCTGGTGGCCTAGTGGCAAGAAGCTGCACTGCAATCCCAGAGGTGCACGGTTTGAATCCACCAGATACTCTGCCGGGGAAGGAGGGACAATCTCCTCCTGTACCAGTCAAATCCGATTTGGCGGTACACACACACACACACAAAATAAAAATGGAAAAAAAAAAACTCCAAAAGAATCTTTGTTAAAAAAAAAAAAGAAGAAGGCACCTTCAGAGAGGAGTATCTTTGCCCTCGCCTCCTTCCTGCCTTTCCCAAGTACGGAGCACATCGAGGTAGATGAGCGAGCTCTCAACATTACGGTTAGCAATTACGTGTTTATTTGTACAACTAAGAAAACAATTAAGCTGTAATCATGAGAGGCTTTTGGTAACTGACAAGTTCCTAGGTTCCAAGAAAGGAAAAGAGATCCTATCACCTGGGGTAGGAAGTTCAAGAGATAGACCTCGTCTCATTGGCCTACAACCCCACCAACTCCTGAGTGATTCACTTCCTTTGTGGACCTATAGCATTGCTCCCTATAAAAACTGCATGTAACAACTTGTTTATATACTTGCCTTTCTCCTCTAAACTCTAAGAACTGCAGGTAGAGATTATATCCCGTTATTCTTCATGTCACCAGCACCCAGCATCATGCAAAGCCAAGTATCTCCTGGATGAATGCTGTTGGGTGAATGATAATATACAAAAGAACGAGAACCAAGTGGGAACGCAACCAATGTTAGTTTTTTCCTTGACTACAAATAGTATTTAGTGGTCCTCAGTGCTCCATTCTCTGCATCATGAGATTTCTTTTTCAGTGCACCTTGTTGAACTGTCAAGAAAAATTCTTCCCATGGACGGAAACAATGTCAGATGAATGGAAAGAACAGGAGGTAAAAAACTGCCTTAGAGGAAATACAGGCAATTACTTTCCTGCCTATAGGATGCAGCATGAGCTGCTTCTAGACATCACAGAACCGCAACTCAGGTTAAGCTCTAGCTTTAGTATTTAGCAGCTGCGTGATACTCTGGATTGGCTAAGAGCTGTGAGCTTCAGTTTCTTCATCTGTAGAATGGGAAGCTTATTAGTGCTAGCTGTCCTGTGTCTCTCTGGATAACATAAAGGAACATGCGTGGTATAGTGGTTATCACTAGCACAACACATTTCAGAAGTAGACAGCTGAGTAGGCTGCTTCTTTTTGGACACTTGTTATAGTGAATGAATGAATGAACTGCCATAGGAAAGCTGTTATTTAAGTGTTGTGTGTTAGTGAGTCAGAAGTGACACACAGCTGATGCTCCAGTGGGTTTGCAGACAGTAAATTATATGGGAAGAGACTGTCCATCCTTTTCCTGTGGAGCATTTGGTGGATTCGAACCACATGCCTTTGAGATTGCAGCATAGCTTATTACCACTGGACCACCAGTGATTCTTAAAGGGAGCTTGCTGTTGTTGTGTACTGCAGAGTCGGAAAAGACCCACAGCTGACCCCTCAGCAGGTTTTCAGATGCACTGTATCACACGAGAGGAGACTGCCCATTCCGTGGAGGAATTGGTAGGTTTTGAACTGTGTGTCTTCAGGATTGCAATGCAGCTTCTTGCCACTAGGCCACTAGAGCTCTCTTAAAGGAAGCTAGTGATCTCAAAAATCACATTCCTTGGACTCTTTCAGCCTGATCCCACTGGAATGTACTTGTACTTCAGGCAGAGCATATTTCATAATTTATTTCTTCTGGATGTATTATTGCCTACTTGAGTAAGTATTGTGAACTTTCAAATATAGTAGTAAGTGATCTGGCAACATGGTTAGCATCTCTGGATCAGACCTGGGACAACACAAACACTCTACTGGACAGGACAAAGTCTTGCTCCAAAAATCTCTGGTTTTGATCTTCATTACTTATTTCTATTGCTGCCCCATAGACTTCTCAGTTCTTGACTGGCTTTGTTTTCTCCATATGAGAGAAGAGCTGATATTTTAAGATTTAGAATAAAAAGAGATCCAACCTATTTGAGGAATCAAAAGCGCTTATAAGGGAAAATAAACGGCTGTTCCCAAGCGCCTCGGCGGCAAGCTCTCCTCGGATTTAACCAATCCTTTTTAACAACCCTTCTTCCACTCAATCATTCCTCCCCCTGCCACCTAATCCAAGTACACAGAGCGCTCAGAAACCACCGTAAAAGTAGAAGTAATTCAAAAGACATCATCTTCTACATGGGAGGGGAGAAAGTTTTCCGACTCGCCAGTCCCATATAGGAGATATACGAATGCATGACACAGCGCTCCCTAAAAGAGGGCTGTGCCCTATAAATCAGACACCAAGCACCAGCCCCTTTTCACTCGCAGAGAAATTGCTGTGGGTTGGGGGCTGCTCCGGAGCACGTGCCCTCCTGTTCGCTTGTCATCAGAGATGTTAACATTTCTGATTAATTCACATACCCCTCATTTTATTCCTCATTTCTTTATCCTGCTCTCCTGCTCATTGCAGTGCGAAGATTCTTACCAACCTGCTGTAGCAATCACTACCCGCACCCCCCCAGCCTAGTGAAATTGTTTAGTGATGCCAACCGCGCTTTTAATTTGCAAGACATCAGACACAGAGGTAATTTATACCAACATCTGTTCATTTTTGACTTCTGAAACAAACTCGCACATGCTGCTACAAAATCCCATTAGAAGTAAGGGACAGCCTTCTGCTGCTGCTATTCTGTATTCCTCTTCTACATACACACTGACACACAGAGAGACACAGACACACAAACACGGGCCACCTTCTTTTAGAGTTCTGTATGTAAATATATTATTCTAAAAAACAACCCCCACTAAGGATTTGAAATCCTTTCAAGAGGCTACTACTTGCCTGCAGAAGAAACTTTTCCTATTCCCTTCCACCCAACTCCATCCTTTTTTCTTCCCAGTATCTTTGTAGCATTCTAGCATAAAGGCCAAGATGAGATTGCACGTTCCTCAGCTGGCAAGTCAAATTCCTCCCGTCTTTACTGGTTCTGTTCTTTTCACTACGTGTTACACCGAAAGTGACCCTAGAGACAAGAAGATAGCTAGAAAGAGTTTCATCTAGAGTTAGATAAGACTTATTAATATTTTATAATTCTAGATTTATTTGCTAGGATTACAAGGCTCAACAGGAAGAAGGCACTGCCAGTCACATTCTAATAACTCTGCCAAGGTGGATCTCATGGTCATCAGCCATCATGGAGTGTGCTGTTCGGGGGGAAGCATGCCCTCCATGCCTGGTCCTGGATGATGGACTTGCCCATGCAGTGCAGAGATTACACACAGAGAAATCCACAAGAGAGACCATCATTGTGGGCTAATAAGTAAACTGCTGCAGAGAGTGTAGGAAAGAGGACCACTCACACAATCTGAAAGACAGCAAATGGATAACTACCATAACTTTCAAGTTTATGCTGTTTCTATTAATCAATCTCCCACTCCCACTCATCCCCCAATAGTTTCTCAAGGACTGTCAGGTTCACGGCAGCTGTAAATAGCCGGGTCTACTTAGAGAGGTCAGGGCTGAAGGGAGGACTGCATTTGGCTTGCTCTGAAGGTGGTGTGTGG